AAACAAAGCTAAAAAAAAAAAAAAAAAAAAAAAAGAGTAACTGACAAATAAGCATTTTTGTGTGATAATGTCTGGACTAATACATCTGAGGACTGTTTTGGACAACTTGTTGGATGTATGCCACAAAGAAATAAGCCAATTTTGAAAAAAGTCTGTCTGTGAGCAATAATCAACTTAACTTTATCTTCATTTTTTTTCTGTCTCTCTTCCTGTAGTCATTCTGTTTTTTTTTTAACTATGTCTGAATCTCAGGAAAAGTCATAAATGGAGCTGCAGCTTCCATTAGCGCTATGCACTCTGTTTTTCTTTTTGTAAGCTTGTCCTAGTGTCAGGATCCGTGTTTTTGTGTGTTTATTTTTGAGTTTTCTGTGTTCAGCCCTGTTTCCTGTGAGTCTCTGTCCTGTCCTCCCCGTTGATTGTCCCCCAGGTGTGTCTTCTTACCTGATTACCCTCCATGTGTATTTAAACTCACCTGTCTCTGTGTTCTTCGTCGGGTCCTTGTCTTTGTTTGTCATACTTGTATCGCTCTCCGGTCGTACTGCTAAGTCCTGGATTGCGTCAAGCTGTATTGCTCTCCGGTCGTACTGCTAAGTCCCGGATTGTGTTTGCTTGCATGTTAGTTCCGTTAATCAGTTGCTACCGGTACTTAGCTGTGTGCTAGTCTCTGCCGTGCTGCCTGTATGGACTACTCCAAGCGTCGTCTTCATTAAAAATCATTATCTTCACCATACCTGGGTTCTCAGCGTCTCTCCTCACCACTTCAACCCGCAACACATGACACCTAGGCTAATGCTACTATGTCTTGACAACTTGTAGAAACAACACAGTTCATTATTGCCACTCTAAAAAAAAAAAAAAAAGGTTCCTAACATAACGGCTTTAATCTTTTTTTTAATCAGGCAAAACTTTGTTTTAATCTGAAAGTTGCAGGCACATTTGTGCAGATTCCTGATAATGTCAAAACAAAAATGATCGGTCACTTTTTATCTTGCATGAGCCACGTATTTTGGGCACATTTCTTTATCTGATGAACTAGCAATACATGATCTTCTTCGTGCCACAACCTTTCAGAGTGAGAGGAATTATTTCAACGTGTGTGACCAAGCAATGGCTCAGCAGCCGCAGACGCTCCCTGCCTCTCTTCACACCCTTGATATTCTACAGTCGGTTGTGATCAGCTTTCAAGTGCTCACGTTTGTAAATGTACTCGAGATCTGAAGTTTCTTTATTCTCTGCAGTAGTTTGGCGAAGCCCGCCCGACATGTCAAGACCATAATTAGAATGATAATATGGTGAGAAAACATGAGTAAGTTGACGAAATAGTGAAGCAACAGTGTGTCTGGCTGGTTTAGAGTGGTGTTACCTGACAAAAAGTCTTTCTTTAAAATTCAGAATCAGAAAAGCATGACCCTCCCGTTTTCGATCTGACTGGCTATTTTTCAATTTTTGACAGCTTTTTAGCAGCACTGTCAGTTTTGAAAAGGGGGGATTGGAGCCCCTGTTAATTTAAAAAAATAAACATCGTTGTGGTTCTATACTGACTCACCAGCATATTTTATCACAAAGGGTAAAACAGCAGTGCATTGTAGAAAGCATGTTTCGGGTTAATTATCTCACATGTCGACTTATTTCAGAAGATTTAATCAGTTTTTTTATTATTTTATTTTAGAAAACAAATTAAGGTAGCTGACTTTTATGCTTTTCAAGTTTTAAGAACCAGTTTAGTTCAAAGTCCAGAGAGACGAGAAAAGTTTCCCAATCTGTAATTGTAGAACTAAACCAGCTCTAAAAAAGACAATCCATTAAATATTCAATTCTTACAACAACAAGAAAGGTCACATGCTGATGCGTAGTCTTTAGTTTTATTTTCTTGAAAAGAAATAAATTTACTTACAGGTGAAGTAAAAATTAATTTAATGTTATTCATTAAAAATGTGTATTCAAACTAAAAATATAAGGTAGGGTTGCTTTTACACCAGTGGACAATCTCTTTGCCATAATGCAAATGGTATTATTGAACTTTAAAAAGTAAAAAAAAAAAAAAAAAAACTATCTATACTTTTCCATTAGTCACTGCACACTAAAGCATAACCTCCACCTTTAATTTCAAAAGTATGTTTTCATTTTAAGTGTTTTTTTTTCTTCTCTCTCTTTTTTTTTTTTTTTTTGCAAAAATGTTTGCCTTGTGTGTCCTTGCAGCTGAAAGGAGCAAACCATCCCTGACCCAGTTGCTGAACATCCAGCTGAACCTTTTCAATAGAAGAGGTTGAGACAGCGTGTCCCTGACAATCAGGCATGCAGCCGGAGCTGGAAACCTTTTGTGACGGTCCAGCTTTGGCAGCCGCCGTGACGATCCCTCGCGCTCGCACCAAGGGTAACACTGCGAGACAGAGGGGGGAATCATAGTCATTCATTTAAAAGGAGAGTTCAGACTTGAAAAGTGACTGAGGAGAGCAGACGGACGCAGGAAGAAAGCGCTGAGCATTTTTAAAGGAGGGCGCGATCTTGAGCATAGTTCGGTTTACTGCAGGCAAAAGTAAATAAATAAAAATAAAAACCGATGTCACAGCATATCAGTGAAAATGGATACTGGGATTTCCAACAGAAATCTGTAGCAAAAAAAAAAAAAAAAAGACTCAAAACAGTTAAAGTGCAATCACTTCTTAAGACCAACGCCATCGTTGTAAACTTAAAGATGGTAACCAAACGCCAAGCTAAACAATCCCTGACGTTTATTTAAATTGGTGCAACTAAAATAATCTCTCCTACTACTTATATTTTGTGAAATTAGCTTGCTTCAAACTCTGTCATGGTAACAAATTCAAATAGATCACAGCACAGAAACTCTGCTGGTGAAGTTCAACAAATGACCTCTGGACGCAGACTTTGCTTTTCTTCTTACCATGCTTGGTTTGTGTGCATTATTCCATGTTGGCAATTGAATTATTTTTAACCGCCTACATCATTTGTATGTGCTGATAAAACAATTCAAATCCCAACTCAGGGGTTCCTCAGGGCTGAGTTCCCATACCCCTTCTAATTATTTTATAAAATCTCCATGTCACTTGCTGTCCTGGAATTTAATTTCACTGCTGCACATGGAACCAAATAAAAACAGCTACACTGATCACTACATTGACGTAAAACTACTCGCCAATATGGGTGTTGTATGTAAACTCATATGAACATGTCAGACCAGGCTTGGAAATATTACTAATAAGCAACATGACACAACACTGCACCACCAAAAGGTACATTAAAATATTTTTTAAATATATCCTACCACTTTTAATCGCATCAGAACAAGTTCCCACGGTTTCTCACATTGGTTCTGAATTCGTTCTTCACCTGATGTTTCAGTAGAATTTAAACACTGTTAAGAGTTGATAATAAACCTTGTGAGCCTCTAACGGCGGTGGTGAACTCCTTCCACTGCTTAAGGACTGCATTAGAGGCTAATCAGATTTTAGAGTTAATTAAAACCATTACTCGAGATGCAGCGCTGCTAATTGTTTCACAATTTGCACAGCTCCTATAAAGGTTTTGTATTCCATTACATGACTTATGTTCCTGACTCATTTGCAGAGAGTAATTTGGTCCACAGTAGTTGAGTATGCTCCATATTTCTGTCCGTTCTGTAACAAGTAACCATGCTCCATCCATACACTGCATGTCCATGAAGAGATGCGTCTCCGTGTCTTGACTTAGGGTAACACAGTAGATGTGAAAGCATCACAGGACACATGATAGTGTCTCTAGGTCTCCTCCAAGCCCCCTTCCACTCTGTGGCATGTGACGTTATTGTGCATCGGACTAATTGATGGTGCTGGCAGGTGGAAGGTCCCGTTGGGGACTAGTGGGAGTTGAGGATCCAATTTTCTGTCTGACAGACACAGGAAAGAAAAGCTAGTGACTTGCTTATTACTGGTGACATCTCACAAATATGGAGCACCGGCTAATAGCCAAACAGACCTCATGAGAGCCTCTGACTGAAGGATGCTGGTGGGAAGAACGCGAGGTTTCAGTCAACAGGCTTTTATTCAAATTGCACAAAGGGCTCTCACTTTCCATTTTTATTTAAGACACGACCTCATTCTGTACGGAAAGGCAAACAAAAACTTGCAGTGACAACACATGCAAAGATGTGCACAAATTGACGTAGGACCTGATATGAGAATAACAGTGAACTGCCCGAAATCTGTGGCAAAAACATAAAAGTTTTTTGTGTTTGTTGAAGGAAAATGTTAAGGAAGGAAATCAGTCTACTGTCCTCATGCACACACTGTACATGATGACATGAGGATGAATAATGTGCTACCGGAAGTTATTGATCCAGCTGGGAATTTCATCGTTAACCGTCTCCATGTGTTTTTGAAGAAAACATGGACACAAATAAACACCACTTCAACATCTGCCTCTTGTATCTGATCATGATTAACTGTTTAACTGGCAATTGCTATAAAAATATTACACTGTGTCCAAAAACCGAAAAGATTTACATTTGAAGGAAGAATAAGTTTGTTTTTCCTAACTAATACGGAGGGATTTTGCCTGCATTTGATGTTTCCTGCTGTTATAAAAAGCAAATGGCAGTTTCTATATTTAACATTAAAAGGAAAGAGAAAAAAAAAAAACATCACAGAGCTGATGAGCTAATTGGCTCACAGCACAGCTCTTGCTCTTAAACAGATGTTTTTTATAGATGATTGAGTGTCACTGGGTCTGTGTGTGCAAGTAAATGTAAGTCATTAGAGTATGGAAATGAGTGGAAAATGCAGAGTTTCAGTTTTCTTTTCTATTTCAGCTGCAAATCAGTTCGGAGTAGGAAAGCAGCAGCTGAGTTTTGAAGTACCACTGATCCATATGGCTCACTTGATTTATTCTCTGAGGTACATCAGAAGGGAACGTGATGTTACTTATTGGATTGATATTGGTGATCACTTCTTTCCTTCTTTCTGGCACTGCTATTGCCTTTGATTTGCACCGTTAGAATGTCGCAAAAGTGCACACTTTTGGCTCCAGCACATAGAAACGCAATCATCAAAAATGTGTCTGTCATTCTGATCTTGAGCTTCAAGTTTTGTTTAAAAAAAAATTGGTTACCGGTCCGAGTTTTTAATTTGTTGGACGATCACAGTTTCTTGCAAAACATTCATTTCCAGTGTTATTCTTCCGTGACTTCATTCCAGCAGATGTGCAACACATGTCTTTACCTTACTCAAGATAAGCAGAAAAAAAAGAAAGGTGAAAGTACAGCTGTGATTTTAAAAAATGAAGAAAACTAAAAACAAAATGTACTCGTATTCATCGGTGAGGATGACTACAGTGAAATAAAGTCAGACTATACCGACATAACCCCAACCCTAACCCTATCATTCTTTGAAAAAAGGGGAAAAAAAATTTTTATCTGAAGGGAAATTTTTAAGCCCAAAAAAAAAAATCTAGTGACAATTAAAAAAAAAAAAAAAAGAGGAAACAGATTTAAAACCAGTCTTGGTTTTAAATCTGTTTAAAAACAAACAGATTTAAAACCAAAACAAGTGCAGAACCGAACAACTTCTCTCAAGGCTCTCTGTCAAAGCCGGTTTTTGTTATCTTTGTACTTTCCAGCTATTTCATCACATATTTTTTCCACTTCTAATTCTGCTCTTAAATGGATAGAAATATGCTGTATTTTGATAAATCGATCTTCTACAGTTTCAACAATAGTCCTCAAAAGCCTCTATTATTTGCTCTTTTATAAATTCTTGAAAACTACTCTTGACCTGTAGCTGAATCATTTTTTTTCAGTTTCTGAAAAAGCTTAAAATGAAAATGTAAAAATAAACATGTATGTTGATATCTGAGTGACTCAATTTTTTTTTTTTTTTACCCCCGTTATGAATAAATCCTCCTTTTTCTTGGCATTTACCAAAGCTGGAGACAGATTTAGAAGTTTAATATTGTTCCTCCACAGATTCATTTTGTAATTATAAGGTCATGTTTTTTTTTCTAATTTGTAACTTTTCATTATTATTATTATTGCTCACGGTTGTAAAACTTTCACTTCTTTAAAAAAAAAAAAGAATTTGAGATTTTTTTTTTTTTAATTTGTTTTGTAACGTTTTGTTTTCTCCTTGCGCCACATGCTTTAAATTACTTTGCCTATTTTCACGTCATCTTTCTTGCTTTATTTTGTTTAGATTCTTGCCTGTTTCCACATTCAGACCTTGCTTGGGCCTGAAGTTGAAGCTCAGGATTTACCAGCCGATCTACGCCTTTTTTTTTTACTCACGCAGCTTTGATTCGTGACCAAAATGATGAAACTACAGATACGAGACATTGAAATAAGTTTTCTTTTCTTTCTTTGCAAGGATAGGCTTGGGAACAAAGATTTTCGGCTACCCTCTCTAAGCTCCTAATATCTTCTTGCAACAGCAGCGGAGGTGAGGGTATCTGATTATTATGTCTCCCTGAAGCCT